CTGGGTTTTGAACGACATCAGTTAGAATCTTGTCATAGTCCTGTGATTTCTCAAATTAAGCAATCTGTTGTTGTGGATTCTCCTGCTGCAAGAAATAATGTTCCATATTCAGTTCAACACAAAGTAAATATGGTGGCTACTCAGTCATGGTCAGATGAGGAAGATGGTTTCACTCCTGTTGTCTCCAAAAAAAAAAAAAAAAAAAAAAAAAAAAACCCCAACTTAACCAGAGCCGATTGCCACTAGATCAATTGTGGCAAAGAAAAACTCTTTATGAAAGCCTTATACTCGATGCCCGAGGCATGGGTAACTCTTCTACGCGTCGGGTTCTAAAGAGATTCGTTCGTCTCCACAAACCAGTTATGATATGCATTTCTGAACCTTTTATTTATTTCTGGAATTAAGTTTTCCTTTTTGCGTTTATTAAATTTGTTTCTGGTTGCTACTAATGATCGTGGATCTTCAAGACCAAATTTATGGCTTTTGTGTGATCCGAATGTCTCTCCCCAGGCTATATCTGCCACTGCACAACAATTGACTATCTCTTATGTACTAGACTCTGTCTTTTGTGTGAAAACCACTTATATTGGACGAAAATAACTTTGGAATGATTTGGCTACAATGAAATCTTCTCATAGTCATTACCCTTGGATTGTCATAGGGGATTTTAATTGCATTATGGGAGCTCATGAAAAAAGAGGTGGTTGCTTGCCTAATTCTCTCTCTTGTTCTAAATTTCAGCTTATGTCCTTAACTTGTGAGCTTATTCATTTTCCAACATGTGACCTACTTGGTTTCGTTGAGGAATTAGGCGTAATGTCCAAATGCGCTTGGACAAGTGTCTTTTAAATGTTGTATGGACGGATACTTGGCCTAGCACGTCTTGTTGTACTCTTCCACAATCGACATCTGATCATTGTCCCTTCCTTCTCACTTTTGATAGATTATAACTAGTGTCATGCCCACCTTTTCGTTTTCAACAAATTTGGCTGAACGCTCCTAGTTTTTTTGCAAATGGTTAAGCATTTGTGGATGAGTTTCTCTTTTTATGGGTGTCCAATGTTCGTTATTTCATCTAAATTACGGGCTCTTAAAGCTAAGCTTAAGGAGTGGAACTGGTGGGAATTTTGGGACATCAATGCTAAAGTTAATAATTCAATGAGAGCTTTGGAGTCCATTCAAACTAAAATTGTAAATTTAGGGCCTTTAGATGATCGATTCTTGCATGAAGATCAGGTGCAAACACAGCTTCATGATTCTCTTCGTGTGCAAGAGATCTTGTTGACGGACAAATCTCGAGTGCATTAGCTTGCTGAAGGTGATAGAAACACTTCCATTTTTTTTCACTCTATGGTGAAATACTAGAAGCTTCATCAATCTTTATCAATCTTAAAGATGGAGATACCATTATGGATGATCCATATGCAATTAAATCTCATATTGTTAATCACTTTCAAAAGATGTTCACTGCTGATGCCGAAGTGGTTAATACAGGCCTTGTCAAAAGGGTTATTCTAACTTTAGTCACTGCGGAGGACATCATGCTCACTTCTATTCCCTCCCAGGAGGAAATTTTTGGTGTTGTTAAATCTATGGATTCTTTGAGTTCTCCAGGTCCTGATGGCTTTGGTGGAATTTTTTTCTTGCACTGTTGGAATGTGGTTGGTCATGAAGTTGTTCAGGCAGTTCAAAGTTTTTTTTTTCTTCAAGGAATGGTCATGCCTCATTTTAACTCTAATCTTCTTATATTGATTCCGACGGTTCCTGGTGCTGATACGGTTTCTCAGCTTCGTCTGATTGTGCTAGCTAATTTTGTTTTTAAGATCATCAGCAAAATTCTGGCTAACCGTGTTGGATCTATTGCATCGCGCATTATTTCTCATAATCAAAATGCCTTTGTTAAAGAGTGCTTCATAACTAATTCTATTATACTTACTTCAGAGTACATGAATCTTTTGGATCGTAAATGCAAGGGTGGTAATGTTGCAATTCAATTTGATATTCAGAAAGCCTTTGATACTTTGGATTGGGGCTTTATTCTCCTTGTTCAAACGACCTTTGGGTTTGGTGAGATTTTTTTTTATGGATCAAAGAATTGCTTGGCTCATCTTGTCTTTCAATTCTTGTTAATGGTTCACCTTTTGGATATTTTTCTTGCTCTCGAGTTGTGCGACAAGGTGACCCTCTTTCCCCTATTCTTTTTTTGTTTAGCACAAGAGGTATTCAGTCGTGGAATTTCTTCTTTAGTAGAATATGGAGCTTTGCTTCGGATTAATGCTTCGTGAGGTGTTATGCCTCCTAGCCATGTTCTTTTTGCAGATGATATAATGGTCTTCATTCAAAGCGCTACAAAGAATCTTCGGGTTTTGATGCGGTTTATGGTTGAGTATGGATTAAACTCGGGTCAGTTTATCAATAAATCAAAATCTTTAGCCTTCTTGGGTCATTGCACGGGTCCTAGGCAAGCAAGCATTCTTCGTACTCTTGGAATTGGTGTTGGTTCCTTTCCATTCACTTACTTGGGTGTTCCCATTTTTCAAGGGTTGACCAAAGAAACAAATTTTTCAAGTTATTGCGGACCGTGTTTGCTGTAAACTTTCTGCTTGGAAGGGTTCCCTTCTTTCTCAAGCAGCGCGACTGCAATTAATTTCGTCAGTAATCCAAAGTCTTTTGATTTATAGCTTCCAAGTTTATGAATGGCCCTCCTCCCTATTCACTAAAGTTCAAAGTTGGATTTGGAATTTCTTTTGGTCTGGAGACCCGAATTCTTGTGGTGCTCCTCTTGTGGCATAGAAATCTTGCTGTCTTCCTAAAGAGCATGGTGGTTTGGGTATTAAGAATCTTTTTGTCTTGAATAGATCTCTTCTATTGAAATGTTGCTGGGATTTGGTTTCTTCTAATTCTTTGGCAGTTGTTTTTATTCGAGCTCGTTTCCTTGCAAAAGGTTCTTTTACTCCTCAAATTTACCGAAAATCCTCTATTTGGTTGGGCCTTAAGAAGTTGTTGCCTCAAATCCTAGAGAATTCTCAATGGGTAATTGGCAATGGTTCTCAAATTGATTTTTGGACTGATAATTAGATGGGTGATTCTTTGATGCATTTGTTAGGCATTCCTTCCTCAATTGCTTTCTCTATTCATGCTAAAGTTGTTGATTTTATTAATAATTGTCATTGAGATTTGCCTATGAATTTTGTAAGGGCTTTTCCGCATTTGGCAGCTTCTATTGAGGCTATTGTTTTGCCTTTTGAGTTGTGTGTTGATTATCTTATTTGGACTGGTGCTATGTCTGGTATTTTATCAGCAGAAGAAGCATATTTGTGGCTTTCTTCTCATAATGCCTTCATGCCTTGGAGTAAGGTAATTTGGGATAAAGCTCTTCAGCCTAGGAAAAGCATGGTGGTTTGGAAAGCTTTACAGAGTTGGCTTCTTACAGATGAATTTCTCTGAAAGCGTGGTGTGTCCTTAGCTTCTTGTTGTTCTTTTTGTTCTCGTTATAGTGAAACTGTTAACCACCTTTTCCTTACTTGTTCGTTTGTCATGGACTTGTGGAAATGGTTGCTCTAGCTTTTTAACAAGTCTCCATGCACTTTAAACTCGATGGATAATCTTTTTGTCGGTTCTTTTCGCCCTCTTCCTGCATACTATGGTTATTGGTAGCATGCAATTTGGTGTAGGGTATTTGGCATCTAAGAAATCAGATTCATTTTGATCACTTGATTGTTTACCTGGATTATCCCAACGATGGTTCCTTTCTCGTTTTAAGGAATCTGTGAATGGTTGCTTCGTTTCTAGTCATTCTCCTTCCTCTTTGCCGATATTCCAAGTTTTGGGTTTGTTGCCTTTCACTTTGTCAGCTCCCAAGTTTATTCGTGTGTTGTGGTCTCCTCCCTCTACTAGTTGGATTCAGCAGTGGACCCAGGAATTTTTCAATAGAGGTGCAATTTTCAAAAGCTAAGAGCTCCCAAAAAAACAAAAAACAAAAACAAAAACAAAACCTAAACGTCCTTATAATTTAAACAATGCTAATTTTACATTGTTGCCGACGAGATTTCATATCTTGAAAATGTCGCATTATATTTATATTACGAATACAAGAAAACACATCTTTCTCAATGTAAATAACCAAGCTATCACTCAACCATTGATTCCCTATTTTGTTACGCAATGGTGTTTTCACAATATTTATAGCTGAAAAAGCTCTCTCAATTGAAGCTGTTGCAACAGGTAAAACTAAAGCCAATGTAAAAAATAAATATACATAATTGTATATTCTACTCCTTCCTGTATTCACCAATTTTTCTGCCAAATCAGTAATTCCGTTCAATGATGAAAACTCAGTGCTGCTCTGCATATCAACAATATAAAGCCCAAGTTGATCTTCAAGCTTCATGAGGTCTCGGTCATTAAATTCTTAAGGGTAAAATTAAGCAAAACGAAGTATTTTTTGTTGGTCAAAAGCTGCAAAATTATAAGCCGAACTCAAACATGCAATACAAAGAAGCAATTCAGTATTTACCTCAATGAAGCGATTATTCAATTCCACTAGTTGCTTATCAATGATAGTAAGAAATAGGTCCACACGATAAGAATGGCGGTTTGTGATTTTCTGAGCTTTACGTCGTGATCTCCCTTGTGGTACAAATAAATCATCCATGTTAGGAACATCAATATCATTGTTGCCACAAATTATTGATACTTTGCCAGCAGATCATCAAAGTCACCATCCATCACGGATTGTAGCTTTTGCTTACATCTTTGGACCAACATCTTGCATTCACAATATCTTGACCTTTCTTTTGTAATGCCTTTGACAAATCATTTGTGATTCCCAATATAAATCTCATCAAATATAGGTGAAACACAAAGTCAAAAGTTTGTATTTCTTTCAATAACCTATTTGCTTCACCTAAATTATCTTGGTTGACATCATCAACAATCCATTCAAGCACCTTCACCATGGGATGAAACATAGTATTAATACTAAGTAAAGTATCATAATGTCAGTTCCAACGTGTATCATAAGGACGTTTGAGAGTAGTCTCTTGATTTAAACTTTGCCCTGTTTCGAGATCATCAATTTCAAGAGCTTTCATAATATCTTTTTGTTGTTGCTCTCGAAGTGCATCACGACGCTTACACGATGCTCCAATAATGTTAACAACACTACTAGCCATTGTGAAGAAAGTAGCAATGTTTTCATTTCCCTTTGTCACGGCTACAAGAGCTAGTTGTAGTTGATGCGCAAAACAATGGACATAATATGCTTGAGGATATTCTCTCAAAATATGTGTTTTAAGACCATTGAGCTCACCTATCATATTACAAACACCATCATACCCTTGTCCTCGTAGCCTGGATATGCTCAAATTTGTTGAAGAAATCAACTGCTCAATTACCTCTTTCAATTTGCTACTAGTCGTATCAGAGACATATTTGACACCCACAAACCTTTCAATAACTTGCCCTTTTTGGTTCACATAACACAACACCACCGCCATTTGCTCTCTTATTGAAACATCACGTGATTCATTTACCAATATAGAAAAGAATGCATCGTCTATATCACTAATAATTGCATCAATGGTTTCAGAGACACAAGAATTGACAAGATCTTTTTGAATTTTAGGAGCAATATACTTGAGATTCCCTGGAGCGTTCTCAAACACAACGGCATGAACTTTCTCATCATGATCGGCAAGAAATTGCAAAAGCTCCACATAATTACCCTTATTGCTAGATGTTTCACTTTCATCATGGCCACGAAAGGGAAGACCTTGTCGTAATAAATATCTAATGCAATCAAGTGCGGCAGTTAATAGAATGTGATAATTAATATGAGCTTGGTCTGTCTACTTGATTACAATGGTTTCAACGTATTGCTTCTGATTCATTAAATCTATACAATGTTGTGTAGCTTTATTGTGAAGACTTCCAACTTGTCCAACATGGTTCCTAAAATTCTCAGGTCCCTTCCTCCAATTTTTAAACCCTTTATCAGTGAAGACATCACTTCCAGCCTTTCCTTGTTTATCAAAGTCGCATTTAAAAAGATAACAATGAAGACAAAATGCAGCATTTTTCTCTTTACTATACTCCAACCAAACAAATGAATCAAACCATTTCACAAGAAAACGTCGATTACTCTCCCTCATAAGTGTTTGAGGCATGTCGTTTTCGCTTTTAGGCTGACAAGGACCCCTTTGCAGATAGGCTCTTCGGATTTGTTCTCGAAAATTGGGATTAGAATAAGTCATTGGAGGTCTAAGGCTAGGGTTTGCAGGAAGATTAGCCAATATTTCATCCAACTCAGTAGGCGGATTATTTTAAGGTTGATTTGAACTAGCCGGATTATTTGAAGGAGGGTTGGAACTAGCCAGATTATTTGAAGGAGGGCTGGAACTAGACAGATTATTCGAAGGAGGATTTGAACTACCCTGATTATTTGAAGGAGGATTTAAACTCTTTCTCTGAAAGTACCGTTCCATAACTATACAATTGAAACAAAATAAGGGTTTTATATCTATTACTATGATTAATTGACTATAATTTATCAATTAAATAAATAAATCAATATCAAATTATCAATTAAATAAACAAATAAGAAATAATACAGAGAAAGCTGAATAAGAAAAAAAAAATTATTAAAAAAAGAATAAACAAAATTGGCTTTTGCTCAAGAAAAAAAAAATGCATTCGACTTACTTTGGATTGGCGTACTCAAGAAGGAAAAAAAACGCAAGATTCTTGTGATGCACACACACTTTGATGAAATTGGGTGGTGTTATTGGTCTTTTATAAAGAGAATTATCAATTCTACTTAATTAAGGAATTCACAATTCTACTTAATTAAGGAATTCCCAAAACCCAATTGAATAAAAAGAACTCCCAATTAAAACCCAATTAAGTAAGGAAATAGAAACCCTTTTGAAAAGCCCACAAAAAACCCTCGTGATACAGCAGCAGTTTCCCTTTTTTTTCTTTTTCTTTTGTTAATTTAAAAACCTTGGTCCAAAACGACGTCATTTTGGCCAATTTTTTTTTTTTTTTTTTTTAAAGCATCGCACTTTAAAAAGCCTGGTCCAAAATGAGGTCGTTTTAGCCAGGCTTTGTTAAAAAAATAGAGGCCCGCGAGCGCAACACCAGTAGCTTCCCTAGCCCAGTGGTTTGCGCATTTCATCGAACACATTGTGTGCATCGCTGGTTTGAAGTAGAGGTGCAACTCCAGCGTCTGTAATGGATATTTCCGTCGACCGGAGGTGCAGACACACCTTCTTGCGCCTGCACAGGTCCGCCACTGGTTGGGTTAAAGTCAATATTGATGGTTCTTGTAAAGCTTCAGGCACATGTTTTGGGGGTGTTTTCCGAAATAGTGAAGGCAAGGTTCTTGGTGTTTTTGCTTCTAATCAAGACCAACCTAGCTCAACTGCAGCTGAAGTTCTTGCTTTTCTTGAGGCTATTAGAGCAACTCCACCCATTTGCCCTTAGCCATGGCAAGGGGGGGAGCTAGGGCAGCTACTATTCACGTGAATAGTGGTTGCTCTTGCAAATCAAAATTTTGTGTTTCCACCCGTTGCCCTTGCTAAGGGCAGTTACTATTTATTTTTTTGTTTTATTCACAATTTTTTTTACCTCAATAATTAATTTGGATAATATTTTCGGATAAGATTTACGGGTTCCTACATGTCAAAACTATTCATAATCCGATAAAATTTCGGGATAAGATTTTTTGGTTCAAATTTCGGATGAATTTGAAAATTCAAATTTCAAATAAATTTTTGGGTTCAAATTTCGAATGAATTTCAAAATTCAAATTTCGGATGAATTTCAAAAATCAAATTTCAGATAAATTTGGGTTCAAATTTTCTTAGAGTTTAGAATTCATACTCCATTCATTCTCAATGGAAGAATATAGGAGATGCTTGGAGAGGCAAGAGAGAGAAAGAAAGGAGAGAAACCGTAGAGCCGATGAAATCAATGAGTTGCAGTGGCAAATCGATGAACAAGTTCTCATAGCAGTGGCAATGGAAGAGGAAGAGAACCAAGGTCGCCGCCGTGGTTCACAAGTCGGCCGTCGCCGGAATGTGGACA